AGAGCGGTAGCGTAGTCGAGGGGGAGGCCCAGTGCTAACTTGCAGGTCTTTTTCCAACACTCAGTGAGCAGATTGGATGCTTCTCCCTCTGGATGAAGTTAATGTGACTCAAGGCACACGTAGGATTTAAATGCGATGTTTTACGAGCTTTGTAGGTTGCATCTAGCCTCTGGAAAATGGTAGGTTACAAATACACCATGCCTTTGCGTTTCAGTTTTAAGCGTATTGATGTGTTTTAAAGACACAAAACGTTGGTGTTAAAGCAAAACCAGCTGGACGGCTGAAAAGTCCGTGTCGGATTGGGAACGCAGCGGACGCTTCACGGCGTAACGTAACGTGCCTGCCTAGGGAGCAGCCGTTACGCGCTGCTGCTTGCCTTGGGGCTTCACAACTGTGGCAGCGGCGCAGACGTTACGGGAGTCGCAGATGTAAACATCACGTGCACCATTGGAAAGACACCGAGTGTTTGATGACAGAAAAAATAATAAAGTCAATTGAGTCTCCAGTATTGTTTTGCTCCACACAGAAGGACACAGACCGGCGAGCCAACCTCTCAAATATTGTTTTTTAGGAATTACATGAACGACAGCCTTCGAACAAACGTGTTTGTTCGCTTTCAGCCGGAGACTATAGCGTGTGCGTGCATTTATCTCGCTGCTAGAGCTCTGCAGGTGAGTATTCCTCTGTCTCTGGTTAGTGTTGCCCTTTATTGCTCGTAATCTGGTGCCAGGAAAATGGGTGAAAACACGTAAACCGAAAACCTGGTCTGTAATCCCTGTTGCTAAGCTTTTGGTGGTTGTATTTGCAGATTCCACTGCCTACCCGTCCTCACTGGTTCTTGCTCTTTGGCACCACAGAAGAGGAGATTCAGGAGATCTGCTTAACAACTCTCAAGCTCTATACCAGAAAGAAGGTAACTTCCAGATGTTTGTCCTTCCTGTTGGATGTCCAGTGCGGCTTGAGCTGTCTCGTGGTTGTCTAAGCGTGTGGGGAATGTCTGTACGCCTCTGCTAATGGGAAAGGCTCCGCTGCGTGGCTGCTGCTCCGAGGGGAGGGTGAGAACAGATGATGGAAGTCAGTCAGTCACATTGCTGGGCAGAAGATTAAAAGATAATTGGGTGTTTTTCAGAAATGAGATGAAAATATGAGTTTCATTAGCTCAGCTTCTTACTGCCTTGTTCCTTTAACAGCCCAATTATGAGTTCCTGGATAAAGAGGTAGAAAAGAGGAAAATGGCACTACAGGAAGCTAAACTGAAGGCAAAAGGTTTAAATCCGGATGGAACTCCAGCACTCTCAACACTGGGTGGCTTTTCTCCTGCATCCAAACCATGTAAGTCTGTGTTCTGAACAGAAACCTGCATCATACTATTAGATAAGTGTTCTAAATTTGTGCCCCAAGGCACTAAAAAAAATAAGTTAGATAATTCAGGCTTTCTCACGGCACTAAAGGAGCGAGACACATGGTTTGTGTAATTTTAAAACCAGCTTCCGTTCCTGGAAGTAGCAGGTTAGAGGGAAACTGGTTGCTTTGCTCCGTACTCCCACGTGGGAGAGTGGCGTGTGAATAAGGAGCACCCTTGGGATAACCGTGTCACGAAAATGTCTTGGACGCAGGCATTTGGGTGCTGCTGCCCTGTGAAGGGTGACTGGTTTCATCCGCCGTGGTTCCTCTAGCAGCAGCTCTGAAAATCGCCTTGTCAGCTGGTTGTAGTGTCCTTGTCAGCTGGTTGTAGTGTCCTTGTCAGCTGGTTGTAGTGTCCTTGTCAGCTGGTAGGGCAGAGAGGGAAGACAGCTTGCGGTCAGGACCCGAAGGGAAGGGCGCAGTGCTGGCCGGGCGTGAAAGAAATGGCTGTAATGCGTATCCTGAACCGGCCAATAAATGTCTGAGCAGAGAAGGAGACGGGTCTGTCTTGTCTCTTGATGTGCGTTTGAGGGGTGAATGCCAGCCCAGCCAGAGGCTGTGGGCAGCCTTGGTCCAGCAGCGGCAGGTGTAAGGGAGCAGGCACAGGCCCTCGTTTCTCGGGGAAGAAAGCGCTATTTGTAGCGGTTATTTCTCCTTAAGAACAGCACCTCCGAGTGTCACTGTGTTTCTACCGCTCCCATAAACATGAAATCTGTCTTAATTCTTTCTGGAGCGTTACACATTGACTGTCAGGGCAACAGTTCTCATACTTGGGGGCTGTAAGAGCAGCCCTTTTGTACCGTTGGACCCTGGTGAGCAAAATCCCAGCTGAGCCTGGCTCCAAGGCCGCCGTGTGTTCCTCCCTGGCAGCTGGCTTTACTCTGCATGTCCCCACAGGCATATCGCTTCCGTGTTCCCTCCGAGGGGCATACTGTACCTGGGAAGGTGGAATGGGAGGGAGAGCAGCTGTTGGGTCCCTGGCAGCTGGCTTTACTCTGCACGTCTCCCCACGGGCGTATCGCTTCCGTGTTCCCTCCGAGGGGTGTACTGTACCTGGGAAGGTGGAATAGGAGGGAGAGCAGCTGTTGGGCTCACGGTTGGATTTTGTGCTCGTTCTGGTAAAGGTGTGCTGACAAGTCTGCCAGTGAAATACCTAATTCTGAGTTCACATTGAATTCTCAGCTTCCCCCAGAGAAGTGAAAACCGAGGAGAAGACTCCAGTGTCTGTGAACACCAAAACTGTTAAAAAAGAGCCGGAAGAGAGGCAGCAAGCTTCCAAGAGCCCTTACAACGGGTAGGTAACAGCCGCTTCCTGACGGGGAGAACGCTTCCATAGAAACGGTTCCCTCGGCTGAAGGGGGGCGAGCTGCTGCTGTGACTCCGCGGAAGTCAGGAGTGCCTCGGAAGTGTAACCCTCGCTTCTCCTTCTCCCCCTAAGCCTGAGAAAAGAAAGCAAGAGAAGTAGGAGCAGCAGGAGTGCCAGTCGATCTCGGTCAAGAACAAAGTCACGGTCTCGGTCGCACACCCCTCGGCGGCAGTAAGTAGTGGGGTTTTGGCTGCTGCGGGGAAGGGGCAGGGGTTTTCAGGGGGAGAGTTGCCTTTCTGGTCATAATTAGTTCTTGGGGCAGTTTCAGCAGGGTTTTTCACTTCTGAGAAGCAGGGCCACTCCACGTAGCTTGTGGGTGCTCACACGAGGGTCAGCGCTGGCCAGCACCCAGTGAGAGACGCGGGCCTGGCGTCGGGCGCTCGGTTCTTGACCCACAGCGTTCTGCGGGTGACGGCCGTCGGGTCCGGCTGTAACGCCTCGCTGGGAGGTGAAAGCTGGGGACTGTCCCGAGTGAACCTGAGGGCGTGTTCAGTGACCTCCCCCGGGTGCCAGCTGTAGGTGAGCTGGCTCAGCGAGAGGCGCCGTAGGGGCGAGTTCCGCGTGTTGGCGCTCTCCCAGCTGCGCGGGCGGGTGCCCTCCCTGTCAGGGTTGTGCCCGGGCCTGCGCCTGCCCGGTGATGGGGGAGGAGGGGGAGCCGGGCTCCAGGGGTGGATGTGGGTGTAGCACCAGCAGCTTCTGAGTAAGTCCCCTCCAGGCTGGCATCCCGGTT